AAGTCTTAAAAGAATTTCTAATGATCCATAGTTCGAGTATTACATTTATGATATTTTCAATTCATTGAAAGAGATTATTTTTGAAGAGAAAATGTACAGTGCATGCTTCTTGACTTCCATCATAATGCTTTAGTCAAATTTTATCTCAGCTTCTATTTTATCATGACTCACTTTCAATGGTAGAGTCATGGAGCAGCAAGCTTAACCTTCCTCTCCCCAGCGAGATTTTTGAAATATATGTTTTTTCTTCAAAGGTCTCACTAATGGGAGCTCAAAGATCCGTAGGCGGACTGAGCACCACCCTAGTTCAAAGTTTTGACTCCGCTACTGCTCACTTCTTGTATAGAACACTGAAGAATGTTAGTTGTTTTGCTCTAAATAAAAGCTCAAATATTATTATAATCTATTCATTCGATGAATAACGTTCTTTAATATACAAAGTTTTTCGTTCTTTCCAAATACAATTTTACGAGTAATACGGCTAATAACCATCTGTCATCTATATTTTTCCGTTTTTGCTTTTTAATATCTCTTCGTGTGTTCTCTTTCTTCAACAATCAAATTGATGCATTGTGAAAATATCATCTATTTCTCTTTTCTTTTTATATCTCTTACCTCTAATTGACGAACTTACAGTGTTGTAACGAATTTGAGTCGAATAAAACAGGCATATTCAATATTTTCTTTTGCCAAATATTTTTACTTGTAAATTGAAAAGTTCTTTTGAATGAATATCAGTTGTGCTTTCGTAATCTTCAAAACTATCTATCTGAGAGAAGACAACCGCACAGATAAACGATATATAAGCATATATATATCAGAAATATTGAGTATTACATAAGGAAAAATTCAGATGTATGAATAGAAAACAAAACGAACACTGATAAAAAATTTATCTAGTGGAGATACTTTGCATGTCAATGTGCATCTTAAGTTAGAAATATGAGATCATATATCCTTTGCTGAGAAACCGACGTATCCAAACAAACAAACAAGAGAGTATACTTGAGTTTCTCTTCCACAATCATCTTCGAATTATCTGATTTCGTTGACATCTATGCTCTGATCTATAAAGTGATTATATGGATTGCTCCGATTCATATTTTAGGAAATAATCAAGAGTCATATTTTCCTTTGTTTTCTTGAGAAAGTCTTTTTCTACCCGTTTATTAACATTATTTATTTTATCATAAATTCATCATTCTATCGTAGGTTTCCTAGAAACTTCTTTGCTGAAAATTCTAAAGACTGCGAGAAAGATATATATGGTAGTTAGTATTGTAAAAGTCGAAGTATAGTTGACGCACTCAAATGTAGTGGCAGTACCTCACAGGGCAGATGGAAGCTGAGCTCCCCTGAAGCTGCCTAACACCTCTCCTTTGCGTAAAAATTTTACAAGTTGTTGCTAATGATGATTCCAAAGGAAGTCTAAGAGACTTAGCTGGCTTGGCTAAAAATTCTGGTGTTGCTACTACTCAAATGGTCTATTAGCGTCTAAAAAAGGTTAAGTATAAATCAATGGAAGGAACATCTTAATGCCAGCTTTCGACTTTTGCAATACTGACTGCGATATATCTTTGTCAAAATTTTCAGAATTTTCATCAAAGAAGTCCCTAAGAAATGGACAATCGAATGGTGTAAATACTATGAAATAATTAATACAGATCAACGAATGAAAAAAGACTCTTGTAGGAAAAAACTATATCTTTAGCGAAAAAAACTCATTCCAAAGCGTTCGGATAGATGTGTTTAAAGTCTGGCGAAAACATGCGATTTGACAAAAAAAAACGCGTTCGAACTCTGGTTTTTCCAAATTGTTTTTCCATTTGAAGAACGAGTAAAAAAGGATAGCTATTTGTTACTGAATGATTAGCCAAAAATTGTTATTACTGTTAAGATCAATAATATATATAGAGGTCACGTAGGTAAAGTTAGAACCAGATTCAACTTTTTCCTCTATCGATTCACCCTACGATTTGTATTACGTAGTTTTCCATGTATTTTTTCAATTGCAGAGTTTCATTCTTTATCGAATGACAATATTGTCAGTAAGGTATATCGAGCAAAAAGAGGTAGTTTGGCCTCAAATACTGGATTTCTGACTCTATTTTGACAGTAATCTCTGTCCCCGTTCACTCTACGACTTGTATTGACTCTTTGTGTAGATATATGGCATACAGAATTTTGTTCTCTATCGATTCCTGCTATATTTGTTAGGAGTCATCAAGCAAAAATCTAAATATTTGCTACGAGTACCTTTCGAAGTAGGTCATCGTGGAAGTTTATAGTGAAAACTACTATTGGTTGATATATACTACTATTTCGATCCATTATACCATTAATAGTATTGGGATTTGTGTCGCATGCTTTTTTGTTGAACGTCAGTAGTTCGGGCAAAACAAATCAATTTTTAGTGATAAAGTGGAGTTTTTTAATATAAGGAGGCTGATATTTTCTTGTACGAAGTTTTCTACTCGTTAGTGCGCGACTTTCACTATCTTCCATCTAACTTCTGTTTCCTCTACTGGCCATTTCATCACTTCTCTCCGAATTTCCGTTTTTAAGACTACAAAAGGGTGTGATTGTGAATGTTGATGTGGCTATGTTTGTGGGTATGAATGAATACTCTAATTGATATCTCCATTCACAGCCAGCTACCTCAGCTACACCTGCACCCACACGCATTTTCATGCTTGTCATTCACATCCTTATCCATACCCACATTTCATACAGGCACCTATATTCATATATCTCCCTCACATCCTCGTCCTCACCGGCATTCATACACCGCACTCATAATAATAAACTCTATTTCCTAGAAACATAGAATAATCTACCTCTAACCTTAGAATAACAAACCTTCGTCCAAAAAAAATGTAGAGTAACATACCCTTGCGCATAAAATAATACATTTTTCTCGTTGAATCCTAGTACACTAAATTGTATTGTAATTATCATAAACCCTTTTCATTTTCATATACACTTGTTTTCATAAACTCTTTGGTCCATAAATCCTTATAGGGCTTAAGGCATGAGGTTTGAATGCCTTCTGATGTAATTTTTTAGTGTCCATTATAGAATTTCGTCTTTGTCGTAAATTTCTCAGATATGCTAATCCGAAAGGAAATTCAAGATTATTCTAGTATTATTTCAAGAATCAATGCAAACAGAGTTCGACAGATTTCCATTAACAACAAAAAGAAGCATCTTTATATAATCTGTTTTTTACAAAAAATACTAATGCACAAATGATTAAGATTACCACTGATATCCAATACATTAGCACTACGGCATCAATCGATTGTTGAACATGTGATATGCAGTATGTGGTACTATCACTAGAGTCAGTACTTTGTCGTAATTTTGCAGTCTTGTCTATCGAAGTCAATGTTCCACCATACATATACCATGGAACAAAGAAAGCGTAAAAGATACAGCCACCTATCAAAGCGACAATTGTCAACGTCTTGCCTGCATTGTCTTTTAAATGAAGAACACCAGCAATAAAAAACAAGAATGATGCAACGATACCAAGAACGCCAGACACGATATTAAAAGTCGGCATCATTCGATTGGCCGGACACTGATTGATGTATAAGCCACCAACAATGATTTGAGCCAACGAGATTGGTAAGCCGCATAAGCTGACCACAGTGAGAACTACACCAATTCGAATAGATTTCGTATCGGTCATTTTGCATCTGTACTAATAGAGAGTGCTTTAATGTAGTCGAATGATCCAATAGTTTATTGTTTGCTTAAAATTTTGAAGAGTGCTGAAACGTCAAATATATAGTAGCAGGTATTGATTATGCAAAGTAACTTCGTTAACGATCTGAATACATTATGAGTCAAATAATCATAGCTTGTGTATCGTAATAGGTTTCTATTGATGCTGTTGCGATGGAAAGTAAGAGAACAAAAAATTCTGTCGTTGAGGAAGAAACAAGCAGTTACGGTCGTAAATGGATATTGTACCTCTATATAACGAACCGTTAGTATAAGACAGATATGTTGGGAACTCTTGTTTATTGTTTTGTTTTTGTCTAGAGTGGAAACGTCGAAATATCTTTACAAAATATCCGTGTTGAAATTTATACTATTGTCAATAAACCTCAATATAAAAAAAACGAAAAATGATTTGTCTTTCTTTATACATCTCAAGTAATCATAACGTGCACAAGGCAACGACAGTAAATAAGGCAAAAAGAAATCAAAAGCAAGTGCAAACCGTGCAGAGAATGAAACAAAAGAAGTTGAAAGTGTTGTATTAATGTATTCTGTACACAACATCACGCCATGAAAAGCGTCTTTTTCTCAATCCCTCTGCTAGAATGTGTTATGAGATTTCAAAGTACATATTACAAAAATGAATCACATCTGCTGAACTTGAAATCTAAATTCAGTAAATATGAACGTCTGAATTTCAGAAGTCCAACTATTCAGTCCAAATATTCACACTTTCACAAAAATACACCCAAAATAATTGTCGCTGAAATTGCCACGAAAACGTATTCACAAAGCATCTTTCTTACTGATGGCTCACATTACTACTTAGTTGTGTATAAATAATTGAGTATTAATTAATTCATTAGCTATTAAATAATAAAGTGATGTCAACAGCTTAAGAGCCACAATTGACAAACTCCTATTATTGTTAGCCATAAAACATGGACTGAAATTTATTATTAAAATATCACAAAGAAAAGTGAAGTCAAAATTTTGAGTTTACACAAATTCGAGTTCACCTGACGCATATTATATTTTTATATAGTAGTTGTTGTTTTCTTCTAATTTATTATAAAATATAATTGAGTAATGTTATAACAACACTCAAATTATTTGATTATAAAGAAAGACTACCCGTAATTTGTTGATATGTAGGTTTCTGTTGTAATTATATATTCTTGTCCTTGAAATCTAAATATAGCAGCATAATCAGAATAAAATACTTCACTTTTACCTGTTTAAAAAACAATCATATCGAATCGATAAATCAGATTACATTTCAGCACATCTTCATGAATGGATTGATCTTATTTTTGGTTATAAACAAAATGGACAAGCAGCTATTGATGCACTTAATGTATTTATGTATTATTCATATGACAAAGTTGGTAATGCTAATACTATTGATGATTCTATAACACGTGAAGCAATTGATGGTATGATACAAAATTTTGGACGAATTCCATATCAACTACTTACTGAACCACATCCACAACGACAAACACGTGAACAAGCAATATTTCAAATTGATATACAAGGACGTCCTTTGAATATATTTCAAAATTTACGTCATATAAAAGTATATTTTATTGAAATAATATCTGCAAATAATCAAATATTGAATTCAATAATATTTATTTCTATTCCAAAAAATCAAATTCGATCATTTATACAACAAGGTACACCTGATACACTTGTTACTATTAATATCAATGGGATTGTTGGAAATAATGGTTAGTTAATTCTATTATTTTTCTAAAAGAAAATTTTCTATTTGAAATAAAATAGGTTGGCATTCATATGATAAATCATCAGATAATCTTTTTACATTTGAACAAGATTTAACATTACAATCTGAAAAGTAAATATTTGTTTAAGTAATTATTTTCAAATGTTATTTTGTTTTTTTTTATTTTCTTAGAAATCGACTTACTACTGTTGTACCATTTTCATCTTCAATCAATATAACTTCACGTCTTTTTGCTCTTTCTCATGATGGTAAATTTATATTCAGTGGTGGTCATTGGGATTGGTCTTTATGTATTTATTCTTTGACTAAATCGAAAACAATTAGTTCAATTATTTATCATACAGATATAATAACATGTTTAGCATTAGATTCAACAGGATATATTCTTGTTACTGGTTCACGAGATACAACTTGTGTTATTTGGTATTTATCATTGAATGATAATCGACATCATATAAATATAAATGATCAAGATCTAACATCAATTATTACACCAACAATGATACTCAATGGACATACTGCTGAAATAACATGTGTTTGTGTTTCATCTGAACTTGATCTTGTTGTTTCAGGTTCATTAGATGGTACTTGTAATATTTATACAATTGAACATGGAATTTATGTACGTACATTACGACCAACTGATGCTAATAATGATCCAGTTGTTAATTTAAAATTATCTGATGAACGACATATTCTTGTACAAACAACAAATGAAGATACACATTTATTTTTATATTCAATTAATGGTTATCTTATTCGTACAAGAAAATTTGAATATCATATTGTTGATATGCTTTTAAGTGATCAATATATTATACTTGCTGTTAATGATCATTCAACTTCCAAAGAAAAAACAGACTCAACATCATCAAATATAGCAAGAATTATCATTAAAGATATGTTTGAGTAAGGATTTTTTAAAATACAGTATATTGAATATGTATAATTTGATTATTCTAATTAAAGAATGACTACAATTCAAGCCACTCGTCTTCGAATACAAATCAATTGTATTTATTTAACAAAAGATTCAAGTCATTTACTTGTTTCTGCTAAAGATGGAAAATTATTTGTATTAACACCTGAAAAAAAAGTAATACTAAAGAGTCCATTAAAAAAATAAAAGAGAAATTTATTTTTATTGACCGTTATTATTGTTATTTTTTTTTATTTAATATGTTAGATTTAGTAATGTCTTATCTCGTCATTGTAAATTCTCTTTATTTCCTAACTTAAATGTCTTCTCTTTTTTATTTATCATTTGCATTTATCTTGTTTTTTTTTTGACTTTGACTCAGTTGTTTGTTTAGTATTTATATGTTGTTTTTCTGTGCTCATGTTATGTGATAGTTATAATTGTTTTCTTTGATTTTATGTTCGGCTTGTTAATATAATTCTTTTAATTGTTTTTTAATCATTATATATTTGTGCACTTTTTAATATGCACATTAGTTCGAAAACGAGTAAACCGTAAAGAAATATATTTAGATATTCTGTTTAAAATATAAATTAAAAAAAAAAGGAATCAATAGTGATAATTAAAATTTCTATTTAGATATGTTCATTAACCATCCAATTAACAACATGAAAGAAAATATTTACCAAAGGATTTGTTTTCCATGAGAGTCAATTATATGAGAATTGTCATCATTAAAATAAATCATATTATGATGATAGAAATCAATATTTTATTTTTCTTGATAGTTCTACAAAACTATAGATCCTCAGAATTCTGTACTATTTTCTGTTTGTCTTGTATTTGTTATCAACTTTTCATTTATGTCTGACATAGTTAATTGTTGTGTATTTTTATGAAGTTCTCGTTGACGATGTCGATCGAAACGAAGAATCATAATAATCACAGATGTCAAACACATCGATATAGACAATAAAAGAATACCAAGAAAAAATGATCCAGTACGATCTTTGAAGACACCTAAAAGAATAGGTCCGACACCACCACCAAGATTACCAATTGAATTAATGAGACCAATAGAACCAGCAGCGGCTGATTCACTTAAAAATAAACTTGGTAATGACCAAAATGCTGGCAAATAAGCTTTAGTACCAATCGATGCAACTGTAAAAAGAATAATCATTGTAAATAGTGGTTGTTGTCGAATTAATGTTAAACCAAGTCCAATTGCACCTATAAGAATAGGTATAGCAGCATGAAAACGTCGTTCTTTAGTTCGATCTGAACTAAATCCAATAACTAATATTCCAATAAGAGCACCAAGTGGTGGAATCATTAATAACCATGTAAGAAGACCATCACTTAGACGATACCAATCATGAAGAATAGTTGGCAAAAAGAGATCGACACCATAATTACCTGTTACAATAAAAAAATAAGCAATAGCAAGAAGAAGTACTTTATTATGACGTAAAGCTTGCAATAATGTTAAATGACCACCAGCTACTTGTTGACGTACTAATTCATGTGATAATTCTGTTTCTAGTACTTGGCATTCTTCTTCACTCAACCAATTCGCATCTTTCGGTCGATCAATCAAAAAAAATAAAACAATAATACCAATTATCACTGCCGGTATACCCCAAATGATATACATCCATTGCCAACCTTTAAGTTTAAATAATGTTCTATAGTAGATACCATTTTCGATAGTACCCATACGAAGAAAATAATAGGATATTTTTGGACTGATGAATTGAGCGATTGGTGCAGCAATAAAAAATAGAGAAAGCGCTCGAGCTCTTGCTTGTGCTGGAAACCAATGAGTTAAATAGACGACAGCACCTGGAAAGAAACCAGCTTCAGCAAGACCAAGTAAAAAACGAATTAAATAAAAATGCCATGGTTGTGTGACAATTGCTGTTAATGAAGCTAAAATACCCCAAGTAATCATAATACGACAAATCCATTTACGCGCACTCCATTTTTCAACTATTAATGTACCAGGAATTTCAAGAAGTAAATAGCCAATAAAAAAGGCTGCCTGACCAAGAGCAAATATAGTTTCTGTTCGATGACGAAATGATGGTAAATCATTGATCATTTTAAGTTTAGCCAATGAAACATTATTTCGATCAACATAAGCAATGATATATGAAAGAAATAGAAGTGGTAATAAACGCCAGTAAGCTTTAATTATGGCAGAGCGAAGTAAAGGCGACATTGAAGGAGATCGCTTTACCTAGTCAAAATTACAATAATAAAAAATTGAAAAAATCAATCACAACACCCTCCTTTATAACTGTTATTGAAAAGGTTATCTTCTAATAAAGAAAAAAAAACATGACCTTTGTGTATGAAAATCATTGAATGCAATCATAATCTATTTGATTTAATCCCATTGATACCATTCAACCTTGTTTTTCGTTAACAAATATATTTACAAAATAATAATTTCATACTAGCAAGAAAATGTCTCATCGTATCAAATCATAACATGGATCGAAAAGATGCTTTACGCTCATTAAATGTAATTTCATTTCATGCTATCTGAGACACTAAAAAGTTTCATGGTGTTGTGTGTATAGTATTAAACGGTCAAATTTGAATAAGAAAATAACTTGTCAGGATGAATTTTAACTTATACTAAATTACTGATATAAAATTAATTGAATTTTGAGATTGTTTATATATATTGAGAAGAATCATCTATTTGAATATTGACAATCATAAATTACAATATGTCACAGCGACTTAGGTTGAGGTTTAATGTGAATACACCAAAAATAAAAACAACAATCATCAGAAGAGATTACCCAGTAATGAGATTATAAGAATATAAATTAAATCAAAAAACAAAAAAAAAAAATAAAGCTCCCTTGGAATGAGTGAAACAAAAAATATACCAATAAAAAAAACAAGCTCGATGATATATATCGAAGAAATAAGTGATCAAAAGTAAAGCTCGGATTTATTGATCTGTTAAATATAAGTTCGAATAAATTGATTTATTTAATATGTTTAATAAAACGAGCAATTCGTCGTTGATTTTCCAGTAATTGTTCTGCTTTGTTTGTTGATGGAACACTTCCACGACGACCTTGTTGCTGTTGTTGTAGTTGTTGTGGATTAATAGGTGGCAGAGGTTTATGACGATATGGTACACCGTAAGATGATGACATTGGTCGAGCCATCAAATCAGCAGTATCACCCGGTAAAGTATTATCACGTGTTGATGGTTCAGATTGAACGAAGGAAGAATTTTGGTTATGAACTATAGACGGATATTGTTGATTTTGTTGATGAGAAACTGGAAGAGGACCAGAGACACGGCGTTCAATTTCTTCAAAAGCTACAGGTGGAGAATGAAGAGATCGACCTGTCTTTCCACTGAGAACACCTACATTAAAAAAAAACAATCAGAAGTTAAACTAGATTTTCTTCTCTATTGATACCATTTTTTTTCATTGCTAATAATTGTTGACGTGCTTCAATAAGTGAATCTTTTAATTGTTCACGTTCTGTACATTCTTTATGTACAGTTTCTTGTAAAGTTATCATCTATATTGTTTAAAAAAATGAAATTTCATATACTTCAATAAATGTATCAATTACTTCTTCTCGTGCTTGTTCTAATTCTTTTTTCAATTCATTTATAATTGATTGTGCTTGAAAAAGATTTGTTTCTTTCGCTAATAAATCTTCTTTTAACTTCAAAGTATTTATTTGGTCGTTGTTTATTGCATGTTGATTATCTATAAAAGGACATAGTTGAAAAGTTCTTCTTAATCATTATTATTTTGTTTTCCTTACTAATTTGTTCATGTAATTCTTTTAATACATCTCTTAATGTATCTAATTCTTTTTTTAAATCATTTTTATCTCGTTGAAGTTGTTCAATTTGCTGTTCATAATATTGTCGTTGTTCAATAGATACTTTTTCAGTTGAAATTAATTCATATCGAAGTTTTTGTGTCGAATGATCACTATCTTTTTCATATTTACGTAAAAGACCACTTGTTTTTTGTTTTTCAATATCTAATTCCTAAACATATTTTAATTATTTGATTCCAGTCAAACGTGAAAGCTTTAAAAAATGCGACTATTTCTAGGAGAATTTTCAGAAATTCATGTTTACTTGCAAAATATCTCTCAAGTCATTGTATCTTATACATGCAGGCGTAATCTATTTCAAATAGTTACACTTGTGGAGCATAAACTCAAGACAATAACACGTGAATAACCTTACATGTCACAAACCCATGTATAGAAATACAATTTTTTTTTAATATTTTTAAGCAAAACATGCGAGAATGTGTATGACTCTTATCCTTGAGAATAGTTGCACGCAACATTCTTACATGTTTATGCAAGATACGGAGTGATTTAAAAGTCACCAGACAGTTTTTTGATTGCGAATAACTTTTAATAGAAACAAGAAAGAAAGTTACGGTTTTTCACTGTTGAAAACAAGAGAATTGGAAGCATCGAACTATATAAGAAACATAATATTCATAATTTTCTTTTGGGAGGGTTTTAAAAAAACCACGATTAAACAAATTGATGTACTTAAAATTTAAAATGCTATGGGAACTTCGAAAATCTTAGTTTTTCAAAATCCACGTAAAAATGTTTTTGAAATATTATGTCTGTTATATGGTTCGATGCACCTCAATCTCCTCTTTTCAACAGTGAAAACCGCAGCTCTCTTTCTTGTTTCTATCAAAAGTTATGCGTAATCAAAAACTGTCTGATGACTTTTGGATCATTCTGTATATGATTCGCATGTAAATGCCAAAGTGCTATTGACGTGTACGTGCAAAATGACTCGAATTTCGCTAAATTCTGCATGTCAATGCAAAATGATCATATTTACGAAAATTATTATCAAAGCGATTCTGCGTTGGCATACAAATTTCTGTCATTTTTTTGGTGTGCATGTTGCTTCATACAAGAATTTAAGTTTTTTCCTCGTTCGTTATTTGTTTATTTACTTTGCATTAAAATGAAATCGCTTTCATATGTCCATACTATATTAGTTCAAAAATCTTAATTGATTTTTCGAATTCATCTACAGTTTTTTGTATTCATGTTCACACTCGCCTACTAGTTATTAGATGATCATTATATCTTTCAGTTTTGATTGCATTCCTAGTGTAAGTAGATCATCGAATGGTGAAGAAATTCATCTTATCAAGCAAAGTATGTACGTTCGAATTGTACAGTTTACTCTGTAACCTATTCCTATGCATGTCATGTTATAGCGATTAAATGTATGTATATGCGTTTAATAAACTTTTGCATTCAACGGAGATATTTTTCAAATAATTAAATTTACTAACGATAGTAAAATTTTTTTTAAGTTGACGTTCAAGTTCAATCATTTGTATTCGATGCTGTTCGCGTTGATGATTTAATTCTGTTTGAAGACGATCAGGCCATTGTTCAGCTTCATGTAATTTAATAGCATAAGTATCATGAACTTTTTTTATTTGAATATCATGTGTAATATTAAGTGTTTCGCGTTGTTTAGTTAATTCAATATTTTCATTATGTAAACGTTCAAGTTCACGACGAATCATTTCAGATTCTACTACAATAATTGAAAGAAAGAAAAAAAGAAATAGATTTTTTTTAAAATGAATTTGAACAAATAAACGAGATTCTTACAA